TTCTTAAAAAAATGTGCGAGGAACAATTTAATTTGGAGTTCACAATAGGTAAAGTCATGATTTCTGTTTTATAAATAAAAATATAAAGCTCAGGATCCCACACTTTATAATTGGAAGAATATAGACTCAAATCTAGAATATCAGCCACAAATGCATGGTTCTTTACATGCATCATTATAACTTATATATGGGCTGGGGATATAGTTAGTAGTAGTGCTTGCCTCACATGCACAAGGCCCAGGGTTCAATCCCCAGCACCACAAATTAAAAAAACAAAAAACTGATATACAATAGTAAGGTACTAAACAGCTTCAAAATGCTTTCATATATATTATCTCACTTTATACATGTGAGTTTATGTGTGTATAAAACATGCATGCTATCTGCTCTTTCATGTCAATAAGACAACTGCTTTGTCCAGAACATCTATACTAGTACAATGTTCATTAGTAGACTGTCCGGGATAGAATGGTTGGACATCCAACACAGTGGCTACAGAATGGCTAAACTGTTGCAAAAGCAACTGAAAAACTTAATCTTTCCCTTTATTTAACTTTAATTTAAATAGCCTGTTATTGCAGAGCGGAGCTCTAGACCCTTCTGTTCTCACAGGTTTCTGTTCTAAATGCTGCTCCTGACACATACTTCTGTACTGTGAATAGCAATGTGATGGAGCCAAACCCTCCCTTCAGGTCAATTTCTTCCCAGTTATTTCTACTTTTTCAAATTTTCATGACAACCATGATATCCCAATCTAGAATTCTACTATCAGGTCTAAAGAGTTACAAGAAACTCCAGCTGAAATAAGGTCTATTTAATTTGGTCTTAAATAGCTTAAGTTTGTTTGAAGATCTGTGCCAAGTCAAAAGAAATAAAAATTGATATTTTCATTCAGTGTATTCCACCATGACCCATTCTGTCACTCTTCCTATTTCTTTCCAAGTTAGAAAGTATGGACAATTCTACAGACTACATGAACAGAAGCATTCAGATAAATGCAAACAATAGTGCCTATAATTGGGATGGCCATTTGTTTTTTAAAATAAATTTCCATAATATGTATAAACATAAACGAGAGCCAAAAATTATAAAACTGAACAAAATATAATATGTAATGATTAGCTGGAATAAATAAAATAATTTTAGCTTTGTGAAAGAGCTCAATGCTGTTTACATAACTTACTTTCTAAATGGAAAATAAAAATAAATAAATAAAATAGAGCCAGAAAGTGCAGTGTTCAGTTTTAAAAAGCACAAAATTATAAAAAGAAGATGTCCCTTACAAAACAGCAAGGACACCCAAGGAGTGTTCTTGTACATCCAAAGCCCCTAGTACAGTGTCCAGATGGGATAAGTTCTTCGCAAGGAGTTCCCCGCTCTTGTTGATCAGTTCACAAAGCTGGGTCATTTGCCCTGCAAAACAGGAACAATACTAGCATTCAATCACAGCACCAACTAGACCAAAGGAATGCTAAGTGCAGACTTTGTACCTCAGAGCCCACAGTGCCCAAAGACGATTTCTTGCGTCTCCCTCCTTTTGGATAAGAACCCAAAAGGACCAAAGGAGTGAAACAATCTGCATGTGACTCAGAACTAGTGAGAAGTTCTCCTATTTCTCTCTAGCCTCCGTAAGTTTCTCCTTTCCTCCAGTGCCTTTTCCAGTCCCCCAACCCAGAAATGTACACATTACTATCACCACCTCCCACACCTCTCTCTCTGCACCCAAAATTTTCCTTGGTTCCAATCCTTTGTCTCTCCTCTCCCTGCCTTAATTTGGATCCTCATGATTTCTCGTCTGGATTACATCATATATCTTCTAAAGAGTATGTCTGCTTTGATCTTTCTTTCTCCAGTACTCCATACTGGTACTGTCTGATCTTTCTAAAATGAAAATTCAATCAAATTACTCCAATGGCATTAAGAAATCCAAAAGACTGGAAAGAGTATGCTAGGCAGACATAAATATATGCTGTAGCTTGGTGGTACAGCACTTACTCAGCGTGTGAGACACTGGGTTTGATTCTCAGCACCACATATAAGTAAATAAAATAAAGGTCTACTGACAACTAAAAAATATATTTAAAAATAAAAAGAAATCCAAATGACTCAGCTTGGCTTATAAAGCTTCTTAAATAATAGGTGCCTGCCACCTTTGCAACCTTGCCTCACATACCTACTCTTTGGTCACAAAAGCCCAGAAAATCATCATTACATGTCCTCTCATCTTTATGCTTCTGCACATGTTATTCTCCAACCCTCTTCGTATCCGCTACCTGACTCATATTCAACATTCAACTACTCAGGCCTTCTCTGGGCCTCCCCCTCCCCCAAGTTGGATGGATATACTACATTGGATATTTGCCCTCTCTGCCCTCTTTCCATCACATGGGATTATGGTGGTTAGGCAATTCAAAGTAAATTCAGGTGGAGGGACTGTTCATTTCTCCAGTTCAGAATACAGTGCCTGCTTAGTAGCCAGTCAACAAGCAGCTGCTGAATTAGTTACTCTCCTAACTGATCATCACTCTTTCTCCTATATCATAATGATAAGTTTAAACAACTAAGGTACAGAACCTAATTAGGCCTGAATTGTTACTTTAAAGTAAACCTATCAATTTTGATGGTAATCCTGAAGACAGACATCCTGGCAACACTTGGGGGTAGTGGTAGGGATAAGTCCATGGACATTTTTTCAAAAATATTTATTTTTTAGTTGTAGTTGGACACAATACCTTTATTTTATTTTATTTTTATGTAGTGCTGAGGCTCAAACCCAGGGCCTCGCATGTGCTAGGGAGCGCTCTACCACTGAGCCACAATCTCAGCCCTCCATGGGCATTAACCCCAAGATTCGTCCTTCAATTATTTCTGTACAGTAGTGGGTGATTTTTTTCCCCTTATTAAAAGAACATTTAAACAGTATAATACTTTAAATCCAACTGACTGTAGGTACGTACTTTGATAACTTCTGGGGCTCCTAAACTAAAATACTTTCAAATATAATTTTTCTTTGAAAACAAAAATAAACATCTGTTGAGATGGAAAAATACAGCTCACCATCGTTTTATTATGGAACTCACTGGTAGTTATGAAAGAGCATCTTCTGGTTAAATAATTTGCCCTTTTAGGGGCTGGGATTGTGGCTCAGCAGTAGAGTACTCACTTAGCATGTGCAAGGAGCTGGGTTCAAGCCTCAGCACCACCAATAAAGAGAGCACTTGCCTAGCACGTGTGAGGCACTGGGCTCGATAAATAAATAAAAGGTATTGTGTCCAACTACAACTAAAATAAATAAATAAATAAAAATAATAATTTGCCCTTTTAAAAATTTACTGTTCAGCCAGGTGTGGTGGCATATGCCTGTAATCCCAGCAACTTGGGAGGCTGAGGCAGAAGGATGGCAAGTTCAGGACAAGCCTCAGGAACATAGTGAGGCTATAAATATATAAAATAAAACATAAAAACACCCACTACTCTAAATACATTTACAATGATTTGAAATACCCAGAAATCAACATTTTAGTCCATTAGTTTTCCTCCAATTAAATAACCAAAGCTGAGGTGACACTTAAAATAAAAGCTAGGTCACTATGAAATCATCAGACACTTAACTAGTGCAGGGTCACTATGCCTGTCAAAAGTAAGTTTAAGTGTCAGAGTGCATGTGAAATGAATCCAACCAGAGATGCGCTCAGGGAAACTCCCTCTAATCTGAGAGAACTGGAAATGACAACATTTCTTTCACTTAAGGTCCATGTTAGAAAATTCTGAATAAAAGCAGCTGAACAGAAACTTAAACATTTACTACAAAATGAATGTAAGGCACAGAAGCTGTTGGCAGTGAAAAGTTATATTTATCTCTGCCTAGCATACTCTTTCCAAAGCACTGTCTTGCACAGAGAAACTATCAAAGCTTACAGATAAGTGACCTTCCTTGGTTTTCACAGTCCTCTTCCATTTTGTAAATGAGAAAATTGGCCAGAAAAAAATTAAATGTCTTACCAAGCGACTGAGACAGGATTCCAATATCAATCTTCTAACCACATCACATCCCAGGAAGTAGAAACTAAGTGTGTTGCAGAAATGAACGATTGGTTTCCTCATTCACAAAAATGGAAGTCTGTACCGGACCCATGAACCTAATTTCTTTCTTTCTTTTTTTTTTTTTAATTGTACATGGACACAGTGCCTTTGTTTATTTTTATGTGGTGCTGAGGATTGAACCCAGTGACTCACACATGCTAGGCAAGCGCTCTACCACTGAGCCCCAGCTCCAGCCCCTTAATTTCTTTTAATAATAACGAAAATGAGAGAACTATTATTTACTAAGCACGATTGCAAACCAGAACATTGAAGCCTTATAACAGGAGCAAAACAGCAACCCTGTATTTCCACAAATGGAGATAAAAAGAGATTCAAGGGATTAAAGGTGATTTGTCAGAGGTCACACAGCTTCTAGCACTTACAACTTACAGCTCTATTTACTGCACCCCATGACAAGCACTGTTCCAAGTGCTTTCACGGTGCTTCTCCACTCGATCTCATAACATCATTATGAAGTAGGGACATATTTTTTATCTTTCAGATGAAGAATATGCAAGTACTGGGTAGTTAAAGGGTCCTTCATAGCTACTAACCACTCTAATCCTGAGTCAAGTATTCGGCATATTCAGATGATGAGATGCATGAGCCAGAGAGCATGAAAAACAAGGGCAAAATAATCAAGATAACAACTCCACACCATAGAAATGGAGTCCCATCAGCGAGAGCTCCCTTGGCATTCTTTAGGACCAAAATAGGTGCGGAGGCTCCCCAGCTTGCGCCGGCTGGCTGCTGAGAGATCCGCCAAGGCAAGCCTCGGAGCCAAGGAGCCCAGAAAGGACTCGCCTTCTGCCCGCTCCCCGCGGCCTAGTCAAGGGGGCGGCCGGCTGGCGACAAGACGAACAAGGCGCTGCACCAATCATTGAAAGCAAGGGAAGCCCAACGGGCCAATGGGCATTCGGAAAGGCGCCCGGCGGAAGTCACGCCCCCAAACTGTCAAGCGCAGCGCCCGGTGGCAGGGGCCCGGGCCGGGGGGGAGGAAAGGTTCCGGCGGCCCCAGGGAGGTGAGTCTGGCAGGAGGGAACAGCTGGGCTCAAGAACTCGAGAGGGCTGCTTACATTCAGCGGCGCTCGATCCCACTCTGGTCTAAGCGCCACAACCCCAAGTCCGGCCCCCGAGACGAAGCTTGGGACTAAGAGGGCGGTCCCAACCGGCCGCGCTGGCGCCTGAGGATGCAGGCCCATCCCCCGAGGCCCACCCAGGCCCAGCCCCTCGGCCTAAGGCCTCACCTTGAGCCGAGAGTTGTCGGACACTGTTCACGAACTGTTCCAGGGCGGACGCCATGTTTCCCCGCGGGCGGCCCGAGCACCAGAGGCAGCTCGCGCGGGAAAAGGCGGCCGCTCGGGGAGGAGGGGCCGCGGCGATCCACCAGAGGGCCTCCGGAGAGGCCTGACGTCACTTCCCCTGGCTCAAGCACCGCGAGATCTCACCTTGTCGGGAACACGTTACTGTTTCCGTGGAAACGGTTTCTCTCCTCGCGGTGTCCGGAAGTTTCCCTTGCGTCCTTCTGCGTTTTTGTGCTGCAGTAGAATCGCTTCCCAAATTAGGCTCGAATGGTTGAGAAAGGAAGGAACCAAATTCATAACTAAGCCCGTGTTTATCGGCCCAGAGTTGGCTAGGAATGGCTGTGCGTCTTTTTTCACTTGGCCAGCTCCTTTAAGCCCGGCTTAATTTCCACGTCTTCCATGACGAGGGGGTGGGG